TGATCATTTAGCGCCAGGAATTCACAAACTAAGCACATGTATAGTAACCGCACGCGGTCAGGCCACCTCAGAACTATATTATGATCCAACAAGACCTACTGAATAACCAACAAGGGTTGAATATGCAAGATTTCAGTGAAACCTCTGCAATACAGTCGACAATGGACCTTTATTCTCTGAACAACACGGGGTACTTTGATAAATTTACATTTTGTAGTTTGGAGGATTTAAAAAATCGACTTTGTAGACGATTTTCATCCCATCCATCAAGTTTAGGATTAGAAGACCATCATCGTTCACCATTTCTTTACCGGTGTGTTTTCAGTAGTATATATAGGGGGTTTACGGGTTGGTAATTTATATATATTATAATTATATTACAAAATGACTTGCCTTGCACTTGTCCGAGGTGAATTGAAAGTATGTGCGGATGCCCACGGGGACTCAGTGTGTGAGAAACACAGGTGTCGTGGTTCATATCCCGGATATAAATTGCAACTATGTGCGATGGTACACAAACACAGGTCCCAGATATCCCTGGAGTGGTGGATCGAGTCGCTATTTCTACTGCAATTCACTGGTCACACGTCACTGTACGAACAGCTGCGTGACGTTAAACAATGTCTCTACCCAGACAATGGTGTAGCGTTTACACCGACTACCGCTCGAAAGTGGTACACGAACTCCGATATGCTTGCAAATCCAAAAATAGGCGGGTTCCGTCTCGGGGGTGGTTCAGCACCGGCATCCGTACGACGCGGAATTCTGCAGTCCCGATTTTTGAAGAAACCCGTCGTACTCGGCACAATGGTTGGTCGCCACACCCTTTACCAAAGGCTGAAACCGACAAGTGTGTCCGGTCTAGCCCCCACTTGTACCGTTACCAGTAGAAGGGTCTACCCGTTACCGGAGTCTCTGTGTGCTCGGAAAGAGATCCAAGAGGCTAAACGATGTGACGACCGAGCACGCCAGATGCTACAGTTTTCGAAATCAATTACAGTGATCGATGTGACCTCTGACAATTGATCGTGTATGTGTTAACTTGGATTATAATAAACAAGCGACAAATAATTTGCAAGCGGTTACGGATGCTAATAATACTGGTATGTGTCAGTGGACACACGAAACCTCGGCGTCTTTCGTAGATCCGATCCGATGGGTTGAGCTTCATTATTGAACTTAGTGTACTGAAAGATTAAAATCTAGTTGGACGTTTTCGCGCGTACATGTTTCTAAGTTTTGATTTTCAAATTATTTCGGCCGAAAAAGGTGCGATGAAGTTTTCGCGCGTACATGTTTCTGAGTTTTGATTTTCAAAAAATTTCGCCCGAAAAAGGTGCGATGAAGTTTTCGCGCGCAAGTTTCTAAAATTAAATATTTCTTCATACAATTTCGACACCGTGTCGCACACGAACTCGGTTCACCCACGCTCGAATCATATCACGCTGCAGCTCGAGCTCTAGTATTGTACACTTGTGCTTAGCGTCACCCGGGCGTTTAAATGACATTGTGCAACGTTTTCGTAGTTCCAGTTCAAAGTGCGTCGCTCTCAGCAACGTTGATGTTGCGGTACCGCTGTGTAGTATTTTCTTCAATTGTCGATACGTACACTGAATTTCAAGAGCACTCAAGCGTGTCCTACCTTCACTGTCGACTAGATAATGTGCGTGGTTCTCGTTTGAAAAACGAAAAAGCATGCGCAATAAGGAAAAATCGTTGTTTTCACACAGTTACCATATTTCGTCAATGTCCTCCGTGGCAAAAAAATAGCCTGTGGTATATCAAATTGCACGTGTTGCGATCAAGGATAGCATTCACAATCGATAATATCGCAGTCAAAGGTATATTGTAGGTTGAAAGCATATGTGTGAGTTGAATAACAAACTCGTTTTGCGACCCAAATACTATTTTGGTACGATATAAGGACGCTGCTCGCGCTTGCACTTCATCAATCGACCGGTCGACGGTGGAATCGTCGTCGTATGGGATGTCGACATCAATTTTGGGGAGATGCGACATGACATTTTCGTATTGAAAAAAAAAAGAAGGAAATACTTCTTCATACATTTTTTTCGTGTGTACGTGTGTGTCCAAAACCGACTTTGACTAGTCACTCAACTCAATCGCTTGAATGCTGGCCCGCTCCTTCTTCTGTCGCTTAAAGTCGGACCACTTGAGCGAGTCTTGGTTTCGCTTGCCCCGTTTCCGGTTAACACGCTGCCACTCCTGGTAAAGCGGGTTGGCGGGTTCGGATACATCGCGTCCCACCAGCAGTGGCACGGTGTCTTTCATGCCTGTAAGGTCCACAAAATAATTTCCATTTTCATCCGTAGCGTCAACACCAATCACCTTCCGAAGTCTCTCTGCGTATGCGCGCTCAACATCTCGCATTCTCTCCATACGTTCGGCATGGTCTAGCGCCTCACGTTCGCCATCCAATCGTATTTCCCTGATACCCCTAATTAACCAGGTGGTCTCTTGTGTACGTGGAATGTCGCGCAAATCGACCAGTCGCTTGAGTTTGGGTCCGATTAGTTTGCCTGCAAAATTGTACCTTTTAACCAATGACCAAAGTCTCAGCAAAGATTCTCGGAGAGTCATAAGGGCAACACTCAAGTTATCACAACAGGCCTTTGGACCCCTGGGGTCGTTTTTCATCTGGTCACGGTACATAATCTTGAGTTTCGGATTATCAGGACTGATCAGAGTTGCCAAGGTCTTGATTGCACTTTCGAGGTTGGGGATGCTTGGCTTGATTGTACCGTTCATTTCGAACACGTCGAATAATTCCTGAGTGGCAGCGGCGACTGTATTCTTGGCCTTGGTGCGCCATTTTTTTTGTGCCTGTTGCAAAGCGTCGTTTAGCTCGCTAAATTGCATCATGTCAATGCCACGATCTTCTAACACCCTGTCCAAACTGTCCTCGAGGAATTTTCGGGTATCGTCAACATGCGTGGTGACAAAATTACAGGCAATTATGTTTGCAAAGCAGTCATCGGCCGTATCATAGAGGGCCTGTAGAAAATTGGCTCTAGGCATTTTGGTAGATATATGTGTATTTATATACACAGCATGAAAAAATGTGGAGCACATTTTCAGTCGCCATGTAGCGTTTTTGTCATTTTATTTTCCTACCAAACTAGTCGACAAGGTGGAGACTTGACCATATTTCACCGCATAAATATATTTTTTCATAAACAAATTGACATCTGGCATGGAAAAAAAGGTATTTTACATTTGGCATGAAATAAAGGCATTTTTCGATTTGGCATGAAATAAAGGCAAAAAGGCGTTTGGACACAAACAGTGGGGTTTTTTATACCAAAATGAAGGTACTTCCGAGACACCTTGTCGTCATGGTCTGTTAGGTGTTCATTGACTATTTTCTCAAGCTGACGTTGAACCGTGTCGTGGCGAAAGAGTCGGTTAGTAATGTGCCTGTGGGGCTCAATATTGGTGACGGTATTGACTGTAGAATTCTTGGCTCTGGCAAACTTCCGGCCGCGGAGGTTCCAGACGTCCCCGTAGCCAATACGAACGATGTACAACCGGAAAACGTCTATACTATTTTTTTCTCTCGACCAGGCTGTTGTTGCGGTGGTCCCCTGTAGTCACGTAAGGCCACTTCTGTTGGTTGTACAGGAATCTTGGAAATGAACGCTATCAAGGAGGCCATCTTTGCCGGCCACATACATACCCGTGGCGGCCGGCCCACTGCTCTGGTTGCTGCTGAAGCTGGAGGACCGCGTCAACCGCCGTCTTTTCTGTGTAAGCCGGGATGGTTTTGCGTGTATGGGGTTGCTTCCAGTTAGGTGGAAACGCTGTGGGATTCTCGCCCGGCCGAGGGATACGGATGAAGAGCGCGGAACCTAAGCCTATCTGGCAAGTGGCAAGCGTCGGCAAAATAGTGAAGGTAATTCTCGGGCTCGGGTATAGCTTGATATGACTGTGCCCGAGATGGCACTCATGACGCGAAGAAGGATGCTAGGCAGGCCGCAGTGAAGTTGAACTTTGCCTTTTGACCAGCAGGTCGGTTAGTGGTGACAGGAGGACTGCCAATTGGGCACATACGCCGACCACCAATTCATAGTCGCACAGAACTTCTGGAACGCGTTGCGTTCGGATGGTGGCGCCAGGCGACGCAACGCTTTGCTACGCCCATACACATGTGCCTAAGGACCGCGAGCTGTGTTTTTGATGGTCGGAGACGGATGTTGTGTTACCACGCGATGTCAGCGTACCGCTCCATTGTGGCCCAGTGGTTGGTATCCGAGGTAGGGCCAGAATCGCCTAGCCCGCCGTCGTAAACAAAGTGGATGAATTAATTGCGCATGGATCTGAAGAAGTGGTCCAGGACTTGCTGAAGGATGAACGTCGTCATCTTCGCACCAGAGACTCCGGAAGTGATCCACGTTAGGTAGCTACGTGATCATTCCGTGTACTTCAGCTGGTTGAAACTACCCGTCATGTCGACACATTTCTTTGATGTTCGCATTGCGGAGGTGGCCGAGGCATTCTTCCTCGGAGGGCATCGGGTAGGAGCCAACATCAAAGTTTTCATGGGCGACGGCATAATCAGGGCAATAAATGTTATCTTATGCCGATTTTGGGTTCGGGGTACCGTACTAAAGATGTCTTCTGGCTCAATCAAGCCGTGCTTGTGGTTAGACGTGCATATCTCGGCTTCCCAAGCGACCAATTTGGAGTTCCTTTGTTTGTACACAACACGGCGCGGGATGATACCAGATTTCAGGTGGATGTCGACTTCCACTTCTTCAATGAGGTTGTGGTTCTTGTCATCATCGGCAAGGCGATTGTACTTTTCTTTGAAGACTTGGAGCGCTGCGGTGGTTTTTGCCGATGCGCGCCGCCACGGCCTCTACCTCCGCAAAATCGTACTGCTCAACGTTTCCGGGAGCATCGCGGCAGCGGCGCTGAAACTCCATCCTGGTCACCTGGTCTACTAACTTTGGGATGAGGGACCTCGCAAAGAATGCTGGTGATTTCTGGCTCTAAACCTTGAGGCCGAAAGCTGGTGGGCGGGCCGCCAAGGCCTCCACCCTCGTAGAATTGTACTGCTCAACGTTTCCGGGAGCATCGCGGTAGCGGCGCTGAAACTCCATCCTGGCAACCTGGTATACCAGCTTCGGGATGAGGAGGCCCGCATAGAGTGCTGGTGGTTTCTGGCTCTGAACCTTGAGGCCGAACGCTGGCGAGCGAACTGACAGATCCTACCAGGTACGTATTAAATACTGCTGCTGTGCTATCAGCCTAAAGAGAACGTGACAGTCCATTGGGATGTCCTCAGCTACAAGAAACGTAGTATCTTGTGTACTAAAATATGTTCGCTTGTCGTGGTCGACAAAGATCTCTAGTAAAATTGAAATAGGACATTGTTCGATAGATGGGACCACAGTCGCACCACCAAATGATTTCATAAACACGTGGGGTATTTCTGTATCAAGTCCCTCGTCTACCACTATTTGTTTCAATATTAAATTAGAGATAGCGCCGTTGTTTCACCTGGCAGTTCACTATCGGCCCCGCCAGAGATCATTAAGCTTTCACTAACGTGCCTGCGGAGTTCTTGTCAGAGCAGGCATCGCTAAATGGCCATACTTGTTGCAGGAGTAGCATTTGTCTTTTGTCATATCGCGTGCTGGTGAACGCTCTTGGTCACGGTAGCGCGAGCGACGCTCTGGTAGCTAGAAATCTTACGACGTTCATAGTCGCCTCCTTTGTTGAACTGGCCGCGCTCCCTTCGCTCTCTTTGAGCGTGGTCAACAACATTAGAGTTCTTAGGAAAACCCTAAAACCTCTGAGGTTGGAGTCTTCCTAGCAGCGAGTTGAACGCAGACTGTTCCATCTACAATAAGGCCTCGTCAAAGAAACTTAGCTGGCGTGCATGAATGTCCTTAACCATGTTGAATATTAGGTCCGGATTGCGCTGCAGCACTGCGAACAGTTTCGGGCCGTAATAGGTGTCGGAAACCAACGGGTAAAGGAATGCATGGACAGATGTGCAGTCTGCTGCTGCACACTCTGCTAGGCGATACTCCAGCGTCTGGTCCGTCACCTCTTTTAACACGGGTGAGGGATCTAGGTGCTCGTTGAACGCATGCGATTCCCCTGTGTGTGCGTAGCGGTGAAATTTAACGGAATGCTCCGAGACCCACTCTTTGGTGTTCATGTCCCACATGAAACCATCATCATATGCCTTGCGGCGAGCTTGGTGGTCGTAAGCATTCTGCTGGTCCCGGATTACCCACTGGTGGCGGGATACCGAGAACCGGAAGGGCCCTACTGGCTTAGGTGGGC